TTAAAGGTGGGCGCGGTTCATTATGAGATTTTTTTTTTTTGTGAAAAGGCTAGCTACGAAGAAAATACATTTAGCTTGGTCATAATTTTGTATTGGAAGTATAAGGTACGATGGGAAATATGTACTCAAAAACTTATCCGCTTCTTTGTTTTTTTATAAAGGAAAATAAAAAGGATAATTGCAGGGAACAATTAAGTACGATATATATATATATTTATATTAAAAAAATGGAAATTATTATGTTGATTGACTTTTAAATTTGGACCTATTGGCTTTGCATTCGATTTATATTACTACTTAAAATAAGTTATTTATTTTTTAAATACAAAAAAAGAGAATTCTTATTGTCGTTTTCATACATTTTTCTTCTCGATCATAATGCAATTCTTTAAAATATTAATATTACTTGACATTTTACATAACTGCAAGTTGCCAGACCAGTAACATAATGTTTATAAACTGAATCATAAAATGTTTCTGAGAATTTCCGCTGAAAGTCATGGTTCCCGTGGTGCAATTATATCTTAGGTGATATTACATCCAGGTGAGTTTTATTGGGTTTTGTATTGTTTAGGCGAAGCTTCGGCGTAAATAGGTTATTCCCGAGTTCTAACAAGGTCATGTTTACATATCGAAAAACCTTACTATGTCCTTAAGATTTTTGCAAATGAAACCGTGTTAACAGGACAGGTAACAGGGTGTTAGAGTATGACATTGGAGAAAAGTTAGCATATTCAGGGAAGGTTGCAGCATAATATTTACCGATATCATCATTTAAGTATACTTACTTAGTTAACGTTGTCTTGTCATCTTAGGTCCGTAACACGATAGGTCTACATCGTGTCTCAAAAATGAAATTATTTTCGTTTAAAATCGCGAGGAATTCTCGTTGGTGACGTGGTGGCAGCTTTATCTGAATAGTAGGGTATTAAGCGGTCCTAAAAGTCCCAAGAGAATTACAAAGAATAAATTTTACAAATTTATTATTAAACTTGTCTATTATACTTAGCGATCCCATCAAAGTTGCCATTTTTGAATATCATTTTCGCATTTTTAAATTATTTATAGACTTCTCTAGAGATAGTAATCTCTTAAATCGTAAGGACTGGTTAAGGACCGCTTAACATCCCTACTGACCATCTAATTCCCAGTTTAATTTAATTAAGATGTTCTAATCGTGATTCGTCTCCTTCCCAGATGATGTAGGAGATGATAAACGGGGCATATATTATGATTAACGGACTGGTAGTGACTTATCACGAGTTTCAGGTCAAAAGTTCGGTTGTTTATTTTATTGTTAATTTCTCAATTTTGATACCTCCTCTTATACTTCTAACAACTTTTCTTTCTTCATTACTTTCTACAGGTCCAAAAGGTCTGACGAAAAAAGATAGAAGGGATTCATACCATCCAACGCACTACTCATAAGTGGTAAAGTTGAGCTTGCATTTTAGGCGCGGACATTTGGTCATATAGGTCTTTATTACGATTATGGGAAGCATCTATTTTATTTATTTCTCCTTTAAACTTGTCCAGGCTGGTACTAAAGTGGTCATTGTATTGGTTAAATAATTTTGCTTTTCTTTAGCCGCTGTCTGTCCGGTCGTGTCCCATCCTTTCTTTTAAAATTACTCTTGTTTAATGATGTGGGTTAAAGGTTTGAGTTTCAAACGGAGAAGTATCTTCTAGTGGTATCTTTTGTATTAAGTTAAGAGCGACGGCTTAGTACGGGGATACAGACGTTCCCTAGGAGTTGCCTATCCATCCTCTTAAAAGTGTTTGTCTTACACGTGAGTCCTTTCGAGTAATTGGTCACTTGTCACACACCTTTCTTTGAAGAAATAACATAACTTTGAATACCCGTTGTTTACATTAGTGATTTTTGTGGTTTTTATACTTTATCTTTTTATCTCATTTCTTCACTTTCGATACTCTCCTCTAATTCGTTTTCATTTCTTGTATTCACCAGGTCCGAATGACAAAGATAGAAGTAATTTATGCATAGCATTCAACGCACCATTCGACTTTCAGGATCAATTCTTAAGAGGTAGGTTGAGTTTGAATTTAGGCGCGGTCATTCGCGAAGTTGTCATTGGTATCAGCAAGTAAGTGAAGAAATAATGTATTTTTACTTCTACGCATTTCTACTATTATGCAATTCTATTTACTATTCTTTGCAACTTAGGCATTTATAACTTCTAAAGTCATATTTCAAACATATTTCTATCTTTTACATTATTCATTTTAAAAACAGAGAACGATGATGTCGATATTTTCGATCAGTATTATCAAAAAAGCTATGTTCAACTACCTGTTCGAAAAAAGGCTAGTTCTTGATTGAAGAGGTAGGTTGAGCTTGCATTTTAGACTCGGTCGTTCGGTGAAGTTCATATAGGGCTACTTGACTTAAAGTAGTTTTAAACTACTAAATATATAGCATAAAATGTATGTAATTTAGATTCAGTGGTCCTGTGTCTCTTGATCTCTTTGCTATTTTGCTAATTGATATAATTTATCCAGGAATTTATCTCGATAAAATTATACAAATATAGTACTTTAATCGTATTATTTATCATAATTGTGCTCAGTAACTCAGATTATATCAAAAATTTTCCAGGATTTACGATAAATATGCAAGACATTCTTTTTGCCGTTGATTTATTTATTTTATAAAAGCTATGATGTTGAATATTAAAAGTTTATGGAATAAGTTTCGGGGCAAAATCCTAACCTTTTCAGAAATTGTTTCGACAGTTTCGGGTTTTGATAGGATTCGATAGTTTCAATGGGTTTGGTTTCGATAATAACTTTGCGAATTTAATAAAATTCGACGGGTTTTAACAGGTCTATTGTATCACAATCGTAGAATATAAAAAATTTTTGTTTTTTACTTTTAATTTATCTAACGCGATCCATATAATAATGAGCAGCAACGAAGGTGCAAATCGAAAAATTGTCAGAAAACCGGAAAAAATGTTGGAAACATTTTATAAAAGTGAAAAGCTCTTGGTGTTATGAAGTAACATGTAAAGCTTGTACAAAATATTGGTCAAGAGGTGAACCAGCAATAATGGAAGAACATTTAGCAAACCATTGCATTCAGACAAAAACTTCAGTTATTTGTGAATATTTAAATATAACAGTTAATCGTAATATTAATGATGATAGCTAAGAAAAACAAAAAGTAGAATTATAAATATTGTCTATGAAATAATGGATGCCTTTTTAGATCCTACAAAGGGAAAAGTAGAAAGGATTGAATTGATTGTGCACTTTTATTGTAGGTATATCTTCATGAATTATTGAACATCTATTTTAGAAATCTTTTTAAAAGAACTTAATTCTGTCAATAAACCACCAATTTGCGAACATCTTACTAGACGTTTATTAAATAAAGAAATGTCAATTGGTAATAATAAAATCAATAAAAATTTAGAGTAGCAAGAAAACTTAACATTATGTAAGAACTTTTTATTAAGGATCAAAAAAATTTTATTATTTTTTAACATAATATTATTTAAAAAGCTTTATATGAATGGAATAGTGGTAAAGACCATTCTTATTAAAAATTTGAATTATTATAAATGAAATCTTATACCGGAAATTTTTTAGCTACTCAAAATAAAGGAATTTTTAGAAAGTATTGAAACACAAATATTCTCAGCTATTTTAAGTAATAAAATCCTAATGTTAAATTAGTAAAAGCAAAGATTATCGAAATGTATTAGACATTTGTTGCATTGAACAAAATAGTACTTATAGATTGACTGGAAAATGATAGTGATAGATCAGATAGGAAGAATCAATATACATTGACCAAAGTAATCAATTGATAATATTAAATCATTACTTTAGGTAATTTGAATGTATTACTAGACATGTGGCATTTGCATTTTTTTTACCGATGATGGCGTCATCTCGTACAGAAACACGAAAAATCAATAATTTAATAATCCGGTGAATTTCCATCTTAAAACGCAAATTATTAAGAGTAATAGAACGTCTTGCAAGGATCGTTAACGTAAGAAATATCAACGTGAGGGATGCAAACTACGAAGAGCATTGAACTCAAAAGAAAGATATTTATTAAATATTTTAAATATTTTTTATCACGATCATTCAAGATTACCTTCAATGAGCTTGAGCGTTATTAGGCCAAACTTGATTACAATGATTCATGACGAATAATTTTTTAATATGGTTCGATTCCTGTGGGTACTTGTATTGGTATTTTCATATTTTCTCAGTATTTGAAATTCGATATTCGAATAACGAATTTAAATTTTTTTTTTTTTATTTGTAATTGTCCCTATTTTCAATCGGAAACATATGGGTGAATGCGGAAAAAGGGACCAAATTGTAAAAAAAAAATTTTTTTTACTGTCCCTTTCCCCGTATGATACTATGAATGAATAGAATTTCCAAATTTGATGCTGTAACACAATGATACGTCTTGTCTAGTAGTAAATAGTCCTCCGCTTAAAGCTTCGGACAATAGTATTCTTGCAGCGTAACTTTTTTTTTTTTTTAGTTAGTTCTAAAAATATTTTTAAATAATAATAATATATTTATTTATATAAAAAAATATAAAATTAAGAAACTTTTGTTCAAAAAAAAAAAAAAAAAAAAATTCGTTAAATAAATTTGTAAAAAAAAAAATTTTTTTAAAGAATTTATTAAATAACAAAATTCACAAGTACACATTTTTTTAAAACATTTTTCCTACAAAAACCAAGGAATTCTGTACAATGATTTACGAAACTCAAATTTATAGTCGGCTTTGCAAGTTTACATTGAACGCGCCAAAAAAGGTTTAAATGTCATTTTTTTTTATTATTTGTATGTTATTGAACGAGGCGTCGTTAAAATGTCGGATATAACCCGTTCAATAACATACAATTATTTTATGCAATTGTATATTTCGTATAGGAATCAAAATTTCCCAATTCCGAAATTTAATGATAACGATAACGTGACGAGATAATTGTATTAATTTTATTATGGTCTGTAGGGTAGTCGATGGTATTTTCACTAAAATAATTGATTTAACAAAACTTTCACGTTTGCGCTCGCTAAATTTTCAGTTTAGTGAATAAATTTCTATTAATCAAGCAACGAGAATGCTATTTATGCAAGTACTTGACTATTATGACGTAGTAAATTTTTTTAACACCGACATTTTTTTTTAAAAAGGGTACATCACACAATAGTTTATCATGTCATGTGGTTCATTGAAAATCAGGTTTATTACAAGTTGACAATGCTAATCTCAAAATAACCTATTTCATTATTCCTTAGCGTTAGACAAAAAAAAAAAAAAAAAAAAAAATAAAAAATAAATTGGCAAAATGACTTCAATATTCTATTCTGGCCTTTCAAAGGATCTTTCCATAATATTAAATGATTCTGATGATTTCAATGTCATATTTCAAGTTGGCGAAAACCATAACAAGAAAGAATTTTACGCACATTCAGTTATTTTACGAGCACGATCGTCATATTTTAAAAGAGCCTTATCGTCTAATTGGATTACAAAACAGAATAATATGATCATATTCAATAAACCAAATATCACTCCAACAGTTTTTGACATGATTTTAAGGTAAATTACATTTTTAATTATGTACTATTTTTGTTCGATTGTAATTCAAATAAATTTTATTATTTTAAAGATATATTTACATGGGTGAACTTAATTTGACCAATCATACGAGTGAAGATATCCTTGGATTATTAATTGCTTCTGATGAATTACTCCTCGAGGAATTATTAAATCATGTTCAAGATCATTTATTTGAAAATCATATTAGTTGGATCCAACAAAATTTTGTTCTCGTGCTTCATACTGTGTTTAAGGTAGCAAGCTGCAAGAAACTACAAGATTATTGTCTTGAATCGATCTTTGCAGACCCACTTTCATTTATAACTTCGACAATCTTCCCATCCATTGATAAGAACATCCTTCATTGCATGCTTGAACAGGATAATTTTCAGGTTGAAGAAATTGTTATTTGGGATAATTTAATCAAATGGGGTATTGAACAGACTCCTGAATTGGGAATTCATAAATCTAGATGGAATAAAGAGAATTTCAAAGCGTTGAAGGCAACGTTAAGTCAATTGATTCCTCTCATTCGGTTTATGGAAATTTCTCGTGCCGATTTTTTTGATAAAGTCCGTCCTTATAAGTCCGTTATTCCCAAAAATATTTATGAAGAGGTTGAGAAATTTCATTATAAAGGTACATTACCGAGAACGATAACCTTGCCGCCTCGCATAGGAAAATTAATATCAAAGATAATTAAACCAAAACTTGTGAATATTATTGTCAATTGGATCGATAAAAAAGATGCCAAGATTTTTCGTAATGCCAAGGATTCGCAGTATAAGTTTAGCTTAATCTATCGTGGTATCGGGGATCAAATTAATGATCGTACAATTAAAGATGAATGTACTGGTCATGGACAAGTGGCAAGCTTAGTTTTGATCAAAGTTCAAGGTTCGCAAAAAATCTTTGGAGGATATAGTCCCATCGGATTTAAATTTCGTCCAATTTCATTTAATGATAAGAATTTATATGATCACTGTACAACGGATAGTTTTATTTTCTCATTTGAAAATGATGAAGACACTCGGAATATGAAAATTAGTCGGGTGGTAAATTATAGGCATGCTATATTAGAACATTATTCTACTGGGTTTAATTTTGGTCATGGATCGTTGTGTATGAGAGATCGTGATTTACACGTTAACAATAATTACGGTAATTATGAGAATAACTTGAATACAAAAATCGTTTATACTATTGAATTAATTGAAATTTATATTGTGGTTAAACTATAGTTTTTTTTACAAATATATAATTTTTTTTTATGTGAAGTGGAGAATAGAAAATTATTCATTTTATTTCATTTCAATTTTTTTTTAGATAATAAAAAAAAAAAATTAAAATTAATAAATATATATATTGTTTAACTTCGCTAAAATTAGCGTAAAAGTATTTTATTTCAAATAAATTATAATATTTTTTATTTTGTTAATATAAAAAAAATCAAAGAATAGTTAAAAGGTTTATGCAATACGTTTATTAAAGATAAATTAGGTCTCCTTAGTCTCCTTAACGTTAATATAAAACCACTTTTTTATTTTATTATTTAAAATTTAACACAACTCTCTTTATGATTTTCCAGTTTTTTTTTTTTTTTTTTTTTTTCAAAAAATCATTTATCAAATACATAGTATGGGCGGTTTATTATCACGTCACGTTATAGTTATACCTCGATGTCAAAAATACAAAAACTACTTTCGGGATTTTAAGCTGCAAGATTCCGCACCAGATCCAATATTTATTCGAGGTCGGTTCAAACAAACCATCTGACTAAGTATTTTATTCAAGATGACAGTTTTTTTGGCACCCTCCGCTAGGAATTGGAATCATCTTTTTAATGGCACGGTAAGTGCGACTATAGGACGACGTAACTACCCTCCGCCACTTCTGTTCACAGTGGAAAGTTCAACTATTTATCAAATAAAAAAAAATATATCGAAAAACATCTAAAAGTAAAAAACAAAAAAAAAACAAAAAAACCGTAAATATAATGGGATCGCTGCACAATGCGATTGAACCTAAATATAAATATATATATATAACAAAATGAATGATCAAAAAAAAAACTTTACCTATTCCTTCCGAAGTGATCCAACTCGAAAGATGAACAAAAATAATAAAATCAGCCGCGACCAGCGATCGAACCCAAAAGTAAAAATGAAAAATTAAAAAATTTTAAATTAAAAAAAAAAAAGCAAAGCCGAAAGGGGATCTATATCAATAAAAGAATATTTTAAAAAACATCGAAAATGAAAATGAAACTAAAAAAAAAAAATACATTTGGAATAATCGAACCCAAAAAGTAATAAATAAATAAAGTTACGATAATTGTTAAAAAAAAAAAAAAAAATTAATAGAATAATATCATTAGAAAATTTAAAGCATTTATTATAATAAATAATTTAGATGCTAATACATTAATCTTAATAATATTATTTTTCGGAATTATTAACATTAAAATAACAACAGAATTGATAAAATTCTTTATTGGCATTTAAGTTTGAAATCAATTCTTCCAGATTTTGATTTTGATTTTCTTGATTCAATTCTTTTAATGGATTTCGTATAGCTTTATTAATTGGATTATTAACTTCATTTTTTTCTAGCAGACTAAATGAAAAATCGGTGTTTATTCAAGTTAATTTGATATGCAAACTTAAATTGAATAACATTCTGCGACTTATATTAAGGACTGGCGGGGTATAAAAATTACCGCGATTAATTTTTCATTCCTGTCTATTTATCTTCTTCGTAAATATAAATTATGGAATCCAATTTTGTTAATAATTTTTTAAAAGTTTTCGTAAAATTAAAAAGCAACCATTTTAATATAATGAAAGTCACCGTTTGACCTTTAATAGGCTGACAAGCTCTTTAGAAGGAGATTGAGAGAGCTTTTGAGTATTGTAAAATAATGATATCCTCAAAGTGAACAACATTTCGATCTAATAAACCGAATTATTTCTCGGTGCTTCTTAAATATCGGGTCATGGACTAGCAAAATGTAAGCATACAAAATTGATCTTCATATTGCATTAATATTTTATGACGATCAATCCATTACTCAAAAAGTGATATTACATTTTGCTAGATGATAAGGTCATTTAAAAAGAATTTTCTTCTTTGAACCAAATGGCGCAGATTTGCAAATCATGTGGGTTACTCTGCATCGGAATTTGAACTCCGAAAAGATTTTTTTTTTTATTTAAAAGGTAATTAAATTTTATTAAAGAAATAAAAAAAAGAAATGTCAAATAACCCTGAAATATCAAATATTTATATCGATTGGTTAGAAAAATCAATTTCTGAAGAATATTTCAACCATTATGAATATTCGGACTTCAACAATTTACAAATAATCGGGAATGGCTCATTTGGAAAAGTTATGCGTGCGAATTGGAAAAATATGGATAGTTATTGTGCTTTGAAATCTTTTAATAACGATATGATAACTTTGAAAGAAGTTGTAAATGAGGTACTAATCATAATATTTAAAAGTTTGTTAATCATATCGAAATTAATTTTCTTTAAATTCTTTATAGATAAAATTGCATAAAAGAGTTGATTTTCATCCAAATATTCTTCGATTTTTTTGTATCACAAAGGAAAAAACTGGTAAATATTAGTTACATATTTACAGAACTTTTGACAAACATTTTAAAATTTTCTTTTTTTTATCGATAGAAAACTCTATCCACCAAATAAACAAGTATTCTTTAGTTTTGGAATATGCTGACGGCGGAACATTAAATACTTACTTAAATAAACATTTTAATGACCTTGATTGGGATGACAAATATCAGCTAGCTTTACAATTGGCAAGTGCCGTAGAGTTCATACACAATTGTGATATAATTCATTGCGATCTGGTGACTGTCAACATTTTTTATGAAAATCAATTATTTTTATTTTATTAACTTTGAATAATTAAATATTTTGTTCATTAACAAAATTATAGCATGCAAATAATATCCTTGTACATCAACAAATAATTAAATTAGCAGATTTTGGTTTATCAAAAAAAATTGCTGACGAATCAAGAATCGCATCGAAAGTTCTTGGTATATTACCTTATATGGATCCAAAAAGTTTTGATAAAAGTAAGGATTACAAATTAAATAAAAAATCCGATGTATATAGTATTGGAATCTTGATGTGGCAAATTTCAAGCGGATATCAACCGTTTAAGGATGTTAATTATGATGAAGATTTAATTCTGCCTATATTAAATGGCGAAAGAGAAAAAATTATTAATGAAACACCACCTGAATATAGTGATTTATATCAAGGTAAATAATATTAATAATAATTTTTTATTTTTAAAAACGAAATCTAATCCTATTAATTCAATTAGAATGTTGGAAATGTGAATCTGATGAGCGTCCAAATATGCAGAATATCGTTTCAATGCTTAAAACAATTATTTCCCTTGATAATGGTGAAATTATTAATGCTAATATTATTGAAGTTGAATTACTAATAAAAGGTAAATCTAGTTTTAAATCAAGTAAAGAAATAGATGAGGATTTAGATGATTTAGAATTATCTGAAGAAGTTAATTATTATAATGATATTAATAAAAGCAATCCAAGTTTACAAAGTATACAATCTTCTCAATCAAATATAAAATATTTCAAAAGTAATTCATTAATTAATTTGACAACAAAAAATAAATTTAGTTTAAAATCAAGCAAAGAAAGAGAGGAGGATTTAGAGGAATTAGAAATAGCAGATTTTTATAAGAATAATAATGTAAGCAATTCAAGTTTGCAAAGTAAAATATCTATTCGTTCAAGTATAACAGATTTAAAAAATCACTTAACTTCAATTTTTCAAGTTAATAATCAATCAAGAGACTCAATAAATTCTATATTTATAAATCATTCAACTGTTGATAGATTAATTAAATTTGTAATTAAGAAACATAATGAAGGTAACACATATAATCAGATTAGGCATTTTATTAAACAAAAAATTTCATGATTAAATCAAGTAGAAAGTCTTTTGATTTGGCTACATAAGCAGCAATGTACACAATATATTTGGTTGCTTGGATTATTTTATTATTATAATATTAGTAAAAATGAAAATAGTGTTAAAGCATATGAATTATTTTTAAAAGCAACAAAAGAAAATTATTCAATTTCACAAATTTATTTTGCAAAATGCTATTATAATGGTTATGGAATTGAATGTGATAAAATACTGACATTTAAATAGTATCAAAAGTCAGTAGAAAATGAAAGCATAGTAGGACAGTTTTATTTAGGACATTGCTATGAATATAGTATCAGAATCAAGAAAAATGAAAATAAAGCAGTTTATTGGTATTATCAAGCAGCTAAGAATGGAAATAAAATAGCAAAACTTCATTTAGCTGATTGTTTTAGATTAGGAAAAGGAGTTGAAAAGAATGAAATTAAAGCATTTAAATATTATGAAATATTAGCAAAACAAGAAATTGCTGATGCACAATATCAACTTGGAAATAGTTTTTTAAATGGAATTGGAACAGAAATAGAAAAAAATCAAAATCAAGCTTTAAACTGGTATAATAAAGCGTCAAAAAATGGAAATATTATTGCTAAGGATATTTTAAAAAAGTATTATAATTTAAATATTGAAATAAATATCCCAAAAAATAAATTTTATAGAATAGTATATTTTGAAACTATAAGGTTAATTGGTTTAAATAATTATAATGGAATAGGAACAAAACAAAATTATAAAAAAGCATTTTATTACTTTCAAAAAGCAGCAGAAAATAATAATACAGATGCACAAATTAATTTTGCAAACTTGCATTATAAAGATAAAGAAATAGAAAAGAATTTTGAAAAAGCCTTTTACTGGTATTAAAAAGCAGTTGAAAATAACAATATTATAGCACAATATAACCTTGCATTATTATATGAAAATGGAGAAGGAACAGAAAAAAATTTAGATAAAGCCTTTTATTGGTATCAAAAAGCAGCCGAAAATAATAATGTAAAAGCACAAATTAATCTTGCATTATTATATAAAAATAGTAAAGAAACAGAAAAAAATTTAGAAAAAACCTTTTATTGGTGTCAAAAAGCAGCTGAAAATAATAATGTAGATACTCAATATAATCTTGCATTGCTATATAAAAATGGTAAAGGAACAGAAAAAAATGTAGAAAAAGCCTATTATTGGTATCAAAAAGCTGCTGAAAATAATAATGCTAAAGCGCAAAATAATCTTGGATTATTATATGAAAATGGTGAAGGAACAGAAAAAAATTTAGAAAAAGCCTTTTATTGGTATCAAAAAGCTGCTGAAAACAAAAATGCAATAGCACAAAATTGTCTTGCAAATTTATATTATAAAGGTGAAGGAACAGAAAAAAATTTAGAAAAAGTCTTTTATTGGTATCAAAGAGCAGCTGAAAATAATAATGCAGGTGCACAAAATAATCTAGCATTATTATATGAAAATGGTAAAGGAATAGAAAAAAATTTAGAAAAAGCCTATTATTGGTATCAAAAAGCAGCTGAAAATAATAATGCAAAAGCTCAATTTAATCTTGCATTATCATATGAAAATGGAGAAGGAACAGAAAAAAATTCAGAAAAAGCCTTTTATTGGTATCATAAAGCTGCTGAAAATAATAATGCAGATGCACAAAATAATTTTGCAAGTTTATATTATTTTGGTAAAGGAACAGACAAAAATTTAGAAAAAGCCTTTTATTGGTTTCAAACAGCTGCTGAAAATAATAATGCAATAGCACAAAATAATCTTGCATTATTATATGAAAATGGTGAAGGAATAGAAAAAAATTTAGAAAAAGCCTTTTATTGGTATAAAAAAGCAGCTGAAAGTGACAATATTGTAGCACAATGTAATCTTGCATTATTATATGAAAATGGAGAAGGAACAGAAAGAAATTTAGAAAAAGCCTTTTATTGGTATCAAAAAGTAGCTGAAAATAATAATGCAGATGCACAAAATAATTTAGCATTATTATATGAAAATGGAGAAGAAACAGAAAAAAATTTAGAAAAAACCTTTTATTGGTGGTATCAAAAAGCAATTGAAAATATCAGTATTATAGCACAATATAAACTTGTATTATTATATGAAAATGGAGAAGGAACAGAAAAAAATTTAGAAAAAGCCCTTTATTGGTATCAAAAAGCAACTGAAAATAATTATACAAATGCACAAAATAATCTAGCATTATTATATGAAAATGGAAAAGGAATAGAAAAAAATTTAGAAAACGCCTTTTATTGGTATCAAAAAGCAGCTGAAAATAATAAAGCATATGCACAATATAATCTTGCATTGCTATATAAAAATGGCGAAAAAACAGAAAAAAATTTAGAAAAAAACCTTTTATTGGTATCAAAAAGCAGCTGAATATTTTAGCATAAAATAATCTCGCATTGTTATATAAAAAGGTGAAGGAACAAAAAAGATTTAGTAAAGCCTTTTATTGGTGTCAATAGCAGCTGAGAATAATGATGCAAATACTTAAATCAAACACAAGCTAAGCAAGCTAAATCGATAGAATTTTTGGGATTATTCAATTTGGCTACTACTAATTGGCGAAAGGGTTAATGTCAAACTAAGGCAATTAATAATCTTGAAAATTTATCAGTGATATTTTGGAAGTCAAAACCTTATTTTCCGTAATTAATAAAGATACGTGTGAATCCTTCCCGATCTTTGATAAAAAATACCGCAGAATCCTTAAAGATCCTAAAATTCAGATTAAGAATTCCTTAAAAATATAATATTTATTTATATTTATTTATTTTTTATTTATAATTATTACATTTTTATTTATTTATTAGTATTTATAAAATATCCCCTCCCGAAGCTAAATAATTTATTATTATATTTACAGTACATATTACCCTTTTAAATCACGAGAAAAAAAATAAAGATCAATTACGAAATTGAGACAAAGATGTAAAAATAAAAATAATTTTTTACCTTTCTAAGGAAAGTCGTCCAGAAATCTAAAGTAAAGAGCCAATTTGTTAAATGAAATTAAGAAGTTATATAAAAAAAAAACGAGACTTGAAAAAAATAAAAAAATTACCCTCACCTTCCGGAAATTAGCCAACCAATTATTATTTTTTTTTCGTCATGATGACAAAAAAAAAAAAAAACTCAAAAAAAATATTGACAAATAATTAACTTATAAAATTTTTCAGACAAAGCCACATATAAACTTCTCCGTTTATTATTGAAAATCCGTGGCTAGAACTTTTCACGCCTCACTACTTATCTCATCCGTTAAATATGAAAATTAATCTTGATATTATAACCCAGCCCATTGCTTAAATTAAAGTCAATTTTAATTACAAAAAGCGAATTAAAGAATACGTTTACGTGAACTTTATTTCAGGTTAGAAAATATCATATTAAGCCTTATAGCCTTATTTGATAAGCCTCGATCATCCGCAAAGCCACGAAGCTTTTCTTCATTTGCGATCGATCATTTTGGATTTTCTTAATTAAAAAAAAAAATGTCTCTTAGTTTCCCTTAAGTGATATGCGAAAAGAAAGGTAAATCGAGAATTAATAATAATTTGTCTTCGCTTCTAATATTTATAATATAAACTTTTTTTTTTGATATATTAAAAACTTTTCATATGAAATAAATCTTTTTTTAGGAGAATTTTTATCAATGTTACGCCACGAAATTTTAATGAACAATTTTTTACAAAACAAAAAAGACATGATTTTTCTTGAAGTACAAATGCAGTATATGATGTTGAATATTACAAATAACCATGAAAGTTTTACTTTGTAATTTTTATATGGTCGTCATTTTTCGTTAATAAAAATATGGAAAACATTGCCATAGCTTGTAATATAGAAATGTTTAATAGTCAATTTCTATGAGATCTTTTAGCCATAAATTCATTCCGTTGAATATTTATAATTATACTGTACATCTCTTAAATTGGATGATGCCCTAAGATAGAATATAAAAAAAAGATTATTTGCTTTTTTAGGTATATAAAGTTGCAACAGGAAATCTAGAGCTGTTTCTATTAAATTCAAGTTATTCAAACATAATTTTACTAGCATCTGAATGCAATATTAATCTCAAACGTCACGTATAAATTTTAGCTTTAAAATTTCGAATAAAATCCGGTAATTTAGTCTCAAGTGAATAAGAAACCATTCTTTCCGGTATAACATATGTATATTATCGAGCGTGCGTAACAATATTCATTCACTTCTCATTCGCTTTTTCTTTTGCATTTCTCCAGCTGATAAGGAGAATATTTTGCACAGTCGTGTATGTATACACATTCCTTTTAGTTGCGATCACAACCATAGCACCAAATCTAAGTCGCTGTGCTCGCTGAGAAAAGTATAGACAATTCAATTCCAAGAGAGACTACGGTTCCTATATTCCCGCATCAAATTATAAATTAATTTAAGGATTAGTTCCTTAAGTTTCACAAGGATTCTATTTCCTCCTCCGTTAATCAAATATATCTTTGTTATTTGAATTGTTTGTTTTTATTAAGAATTTTTTATTTTGAATATCAAAAAGTTTAAGAACTGCCCTAGTTAGTTTTTGTTTGATAAACATTATCTAATTGTCAAAAGAAAATTTACTTTTGTTTGATTAATATAAAATATTATTAGGAATTACTTGTAATTGAGAAGGACATCACAAAAATGACGTTCACATTTTCGTAGATGTGACCTAAATCAGAATTCCTCCAAATCATATGCATTATCATAGCGCTTTTGTTGCTATTTGTGGTAGCGTCGTCAATATTGTAGACTTCTGAAACTTCTTTTCAAAGAAATAATGAGAAAATATGTCTAGAAAAAGTTCAGATTTCACACAAAATATTTTGCACGTTATCCTTCTTATAAGTGTTACTTTACTCGTAAACATAGAATGGAGTTTCAATTAAATAATGGAAATAACTATAAATAACCAGAGGTCAGTGTTGGCACCTGGACTATATCCAGTAAATTGTCTTTATTGGACTGGACTGGACTGGACATATCATAAAAAATAATCCAGTTCCAGTCCAGTTAATCACGTTATTGGAATATGTCCAATTGCATTAACTGGATTAATTGGAATATGGGAGGTAAGCTATTAAAATCATGTTACGGATCATATGATTTATTATGTTTGTAACTCGATTTTAATAGCAAACCTCCCATATGTCCAGTGGATTAAGTAAAATGTCCAGTACGAAATATAATATTATAGTTTAATTAATTATTTTATAAATTTACTAAATGATCTTTTATACAAACTATTTTATTTGTTACAAAAATGATTTTTATCATCAATTTATAAATTGTTTACATATTCGGGCACTTCTAATTCTATATTAAATAAATTTTCTAGCGTCCATTTTGCTGTAGAATCTCGTTGAGGATGCTTTTACTCAGAAAGATAATTATCAATATTAAAATTCTTTATTTCATTACTTTCATCCTCTAAATCAGATTCATCATCTAATTTTTCGTTTCTTAACATTTGGTTCCATAAATTCATTATACATTCAAAACTTAATTTATTACCAATTATATTATTTTCGCCACCTGTAATTAGTTGATTAAAATCAGCAGCATCATCATCATCAGAATCTTTATCATCAGCATTTTGATTACCATTATCACTATTATTATCCAGATTATTTTTTATTAGTAAGAGCATTACTAGAGTGATATAATTGTTTTATTTGCTCTAAATCATGATTTGATGTGCTTGATTAATGACGCCCTTTATTTGAACCATTGCTAGCATCTTTTTATACTAAATAAAATTAAAATTATAAATTAATAATAAAAAATTTTACTTATACAGTAAATAAGATATTTTGATAAATTTACATGCAACTGATTTCACTTAATTGAATGCAGGTGATCCATTGAAGATCATAAATACTTGTAATTCAATATGCTACAAAATCCAGCTCCTTTGATTTAATTAAATACCATTGTCAATATGCAAATATATTATCTTGAAATTGATTAATACAAGAATAATTAAATGGAAATTTTTTCTGACTATAATCCTGAAGTTCATATAAAATAGTTATAGGTTTTTTGCCTATCTATGCAATATAATAATATTAAATGTACTGACTCAGATCAAACCAGTCCATTTTTGGTAAATTAATATTAAATTTTTCAAGACAATAATGAGGATTAAGAGCTCAAAAAGAATTAACAATAGCCATTCCCATTGATACCATCGCTTTTTTAATCATTCACATAATTTAGCAGATAAAGTTGCATCCAGATAATTAGATAATATTTTGTAAAAATAACCAAAAGAATGTAATGCTTCAAAAAGTCTAGCCTTATCTCATTGTAAAATATTTAAATAAGTACAATAAGATAAAAGCAAATTTTTGATAAAGCTAACTGTTCTCCAGAATTCCTCATTATAAATAGAATCACAAATAGAATTTGGTAATATTAATTCATCAACAGTTTCTATATTTTTATTGTCAGTATTTTTACACCTATTTCTGTGATTATTATAGCTGGATTCTTTATCAAGATCTAAATAATCTTCTTCAATTCTTAGACCATATTGACTTATTAGATTCTATGATTAGTTACAACTTTAATTAATTTATAATAAAAAATAAATAATAACAAAAATATGTATAATATATCTTACTTTTAAAGCATCATGTATTTTTAAAAGACTACTAAAATAATAATAATAACTATTCCATCAGGTAAACTCTGATACAACTATATTCTGCTATTTATTATATATAGATTTTTGAATTTCCATAATTTTCCAATAAAATAAGTATGATTTTTACTAGTAAAATAATTTGAAATAGTAACAGCCTTTTTTGAAGCTTTTTTATAATTAGTAGATTCTTTGAATATTTCTCCTACATATAAGTTAGCTTATGTGCAAAATATGAAAGGTAAACTATTGATGGGTTATTAAGTTAAAGTATTTTCCAATTTTTATAAAAAAATAGAAGTAAATTATTTTATTTAAATAAATAAATAAATAAAATAAATTAATAATAAAGCATAAAAATATTTACTATGCTGCATTATAAGATGAATAGCTATCAGTTATAACTGCAGATATTACAATATTTTTTTTTTTACTAATATATTTTGTTTGGCTACATTTGTCTAGCTATCTATTATTATAGTTACTTCATGAATATCAGATTTTACCTTTTCTTGAATTTCTTGAACAAGATATTTTGAAGCCTTTTTTAAAATTATTCCGCTAAGACTTTTGTGACTTAAAAGTTTAGTTTAGGGATTAATAAATTTGAACAAAGCAAAGAATTCAGATTTTTATTATCTAAAATTCTAATCATTTGATATAATGCTTTTAAAAGTAGATAATAAAATTTATCAAAAGTTATGTCAGTAGAATGATGATATACAAATTTATCTATTAGATTATTATCTCTAGAAGTAGAAATAATATGCATAGATATACTTAATATTAATTAATAGTATAACACATCTGATATAATAGCTAAAGTATTGATATCTAAAAGTATTATGAGATCATTATCATCAATTTCTTCATTTTCACCTATATGTCAAATTACATAAATATTTCTTAGTTAAACACATTAGTATTATTTTTATTTTTATTTTTTCATATTCAACTTCCTAAAATCTTCATAAAGTGTTCATTTTTTTATTTTATATTCGTTGCTTTATTAATTCACTATCAGTATCTTCAATAATTTTTTGTGTTCTCTTTACTTTATATATAGCTTTAAAATTCTTATATTTAATTAAATGACATTTATAGAGAAGTTTTGTGTTAGCAAATTTTTTTCATAAGCATATTCATAATTCACTTTAATTTTATATGTTTTACAAATAGCAAATTTATTATACAAATTCAATAAAAACAGTCAAGTAATAATATTATAGCATGTTATAAGAAATGCTGATTGATCGTTAAAAAAAGATCGATAAAATTTAATAATATAACTATCATTTCACATGACTTTCTACTCTAAAAATGATTGGCAAATTTTGATAACATAATTATTAGACATAAGCTTTATGTCTAGTATTATAATATCTAGTGGAATGAATTAATCTAGTGAATCAATTCCAGTAGAACATTTCAATTCAAGTGCTAATACTATCAGAGATATTGAATATCTGAATTTTATAACTATGATTTCACTCATAATTTGATTATATTATATGACCTAAATATAAACTGTTTAATTCCTTTTTTATTATTCAAATTATTTGATATATTCTGTCTGATTTCTTTTTTTATTATTTGATATATACATTTCCTTTTCTATAATCATCAACTCTTCACTAACATGATGAGCACAAAAATAAACAGCCCATTTGATATATTGACCAATAAAGAAAATTATTCTATTAACTTTAAAAGTGAACTGAAAACTCATATGTTATATTGAAAACAATATGAGGTTTAAAACTTTAAGAAGACTTTGAAGCTTATTTAGATCAATATGCATTGCAAAAAGATTTTTTTTATAAAAATTGAAAATTAAATATCATTTGAATCAAAATAAAATGAAATATATATCAATAAAAAAAAAGCAATATATTAAGCAAAGAATATATGAGTATTTTCATTTTTACTATTATGTATCAAAAAAAGTGGTTAATCTTAAAAGTCAAAGAAATAGAAAATTATATCAAATTGATTATTTTTAGTGTATTAATATAATAAAGCTAAAAAAGAAAATTTTATTGGTTTAACTTCTGTTAATCTTAAATACAATCATAATATGAATTTATTGGTCAGAGAAATGCTTCCAAAATTTAGAAAATTTATACATCTAATGTTTAATGATTTCAAATTTTATGTAAAGCATAGAACAACTAATGCAAAATTGATATTTCTATTATTATATGTGTTGATTGCTAGGAAAATCAGGCTCTGGGAATTTTTTAACAAAATTGAGATTTTTATTGCATTTTAGTTTTTGATGTTATTAGATTAAAATGTATTAAGCTCTTAATTTAAGTGAAAAATTTCTTGGAACCTGATTTTCCTAGAAACCCTCCTATATGCAAAATATCCAGACTACTTGATTTATAAGAAAGATTTATATAATGCCATACCAAAGATTTAAAGTAGAACAATAAAGTATTATTGAGAATGATACTGCAAATCTTTTATATCATCTTTATCATGAAAAATAACAAGACCTCAACAATTTTAATTATCTGAACTTGATTAAAAATTAATATTATTAATTATGGATATTATCTGAATAGTGATCTTATTATATATGATTTTATAAAGTTTTAATATTTGATTATACTGCAGAACAAATCAATATGATATGGTGTTATATTTGTTTATTATAATTAATAATAATACAAGATCCAGATTAATAGCAAGTATTTTATTCGAAGATTAAACAAAAGCTTCGTTTAAAGCTCTGAACGGTTCAGATTAATCTGAAAATTTTCGGTTCAGATCAACTTCAGTTCGGTTTCGGAATGCAAAAATTTTAATCTGAAAATTTTCAGTTCAGTTCAGATTTTTTTCAGATTATAAATCTAATCTGAACTGAAAAAAATCCGAACCGAACTGAAAATTTCGGATTAATCCGAAATTTCAGATCGCTTGGAATGATAAAATTATCGTTCTAAATGAATGATAAAAGAATCATTCATTTGGAACGATTGAAGTTATCGTTCCAAACGAACGATAAAAAAATCGTTCGATTGGAACGATGAAATTATCGTTCTAAACGAATGATAAAAAAATCGTTCATTTGGAACGATTGAAGTTATCGTTCCAAATGAACGATAAGAAAATCGTTCGATTGGAACGATTAAATTATCAT